ACCTTAGGCACATCCTCACTCACAGTTGGGACTAATCATCTTCCTATTGGTGTCACCTGTGTCTATCTGAATCACCTGTGTATTTATGCCCTCACTTCCCTGTGTTCCCTTGCTCAGTTTTATCTGCTAGTTTCACTATGTCAAGCAGTACTAATCAGTGTCTGATCGCGGGACGTATGGACAGGTACGTGAGAAGTGTTCTCCCTGTTTATTTATTATTTTAGTCATAGTTAGTATTTCGTATTTTTGGCTGTCTGCCTGTTTTATTTAGTCTTATTTGCTCCACCTTTTGTTTTCGTGCCTACTGTCTAACCTGCACCGCACCTGGGTCACACCTCACACCAACCCTTACAACCAATTAGTGAAGAAAATATCAGAATTGGGCTGAGCACAACCTAATAGACTGACAATGTAGCATCTGGTCTAGTCCTCCACAGCCGCACCCCTTTCTATCATACCTTCCACTCTGTTTGTAATTGCAGGCCAGCACTGATCTCAACGATCCATCCAGGTCATGACACCGATGCAGCTGTTGGAATCTGAAATTTCAAATTCAAGCAACACATATTCCCCTGCCATCTGACACTTTCAATCTACAGCAAAAAAAGACCAGTAGCCAACCTCTATTTTCACCTCTATTTCACAGACACTAATAGGTGTCTGTAAGACCAGGAGCACCTGTCACCTGTCTAGAATTACATGAATGTTCCAGGATGTAGCCTAATTGATATATCGCAATGAATGTGATGATAGAAAGTAAATATAATGAATTTTATATTTTAGATGATTCTTACAAATAATTTTAATATAATCGAATGTAATCGAATGAAGGTGTATATTAGGTACAAAATGTGGAAAACGTGCACAGTGCACATCGAAACCCCAGTGAGCTGTTATGAGCGTCCTTGAAGAGCATGCGCGCTGTATTCCTGTCTCTGTCCGGTTAAACAGCTGGGTCTGTGCGCGGAGAGAGACAGACGTGATTCTGCTCTGCAGTGTGTGTGACCGAGGCGACATGGCGAGGATAAAGATATTGGGATTATTGCTTTTCTAATGTCTTCGCTTTAGAAGGCATTACATAAGAAAATAAAAAGGATGAGATGAGGCCTACGAAGACGAGACATCAACATTGCCACATACACGCCACATACAATGATGAGCGCCAATTCGACTCAAACACTGAAAGACTGACTGAACACTCGGGATGCCATTTATGAAGGAGGTGCAGAATTGCATTAACATATGGCGCTTTTGTTAACGATTTGTTTTTCGTTCGTTTGTTTTAGCCTAGCCTACTATCGAGATACTGGCGTTATGGTAAGACCTACAGTATGTTTGAAATTGTAGAGCTGTATTTATTTAGAAATTGTCGTATGTTGATTTTCTAAGCTGTTAATTTGTCATTTGTGCATGGACTATCCCGTGGACTTTTATAGGCTACTGAACAGCATAGCCTTAAAAACATAGCCTTAAATGTGATTTTGGTGATTAAAAAGGGTTGTTGTAGGTTATTGTAAATTGATGTAATGCATAAATAATGCATTGAGGCCATGCGAAAAACGACATGATGCAAACAATTGGAATGCTTGGAGAAGATACTAGATTATTTTTGATCAGTTGAAATCTAACCTATGGTTTATTGGCAAATCTTTCCTCATATAAAGGGTCCCACTTTTCCCCAACTTATAAAGGCGTTATAGAGCCTTTAGAATGTGCTCTACCACGGAGTCCTAATTCAAAACAATCTTCAATATGATACAACATCGAAGTAGGAGTCCTTATTGGTGCTACTTTGATGCCTAAGACAAAGCAGGTGCAGTACATAGCCCTCAGTGGTGAATTTCTCACTCTGTTTTCTTCCCACACATCCTTTCAGTCAGAGAGCCCAAGAGAAAGACCCCCCCCCCCCCCTCTCTTATACACACATACACACCAACCCCTCTCCCTCCAATCCAGTATTGAATGGGGTATTCAGTGGCCTGTTTGTGTGAGCTGATTTGTGTTCCAGGGTAGATCACAAGCTACTTGCAGCCTCCTGGGCTCTGGCATTTGGGTCCAGCAGCGGTAGGAGAAGGGGGAATGGTGGACGGTTGCAAGGGGGGAATGGTTGGATGCTAGTTGTCAGGGTTAGGAAAATGGAGGTGGAAATGAAAGTGTCAGAGGATCAGGTATTATGCCAGTAGTCACATTATTATTTTTTTACCCCCTTTTCATGATATCCAATTATAATCTTGTCTCATCCCTGCAACTCCCCAACAGGCTCAGGAGAGGCGAAGGTCGAGTCATGCGTTCTACGAAATATGACCCGCCAAACCACGCTCCTTAACACCCGCCCACTTAACCCGAAAGCCAGCCACACCAATGTGTCAGAGGAAACACTGTTCAACTGACGACCGAAGTCAGCCTGCAGGCGCCCAGCTCGCCACAAGGAGTCACTAGAGCGTGATGAGCCAAATAAAGCCCCCCCCCCAGCCAAACCCTCCCCTAACCCAGACGACGCTGGGCAAATTGTGCGCCGCCCTATTGGACTCCCGGTCACGGCCGGTTGTGACACAGCTTGGGATCGAACTCGGGTCTGTAGTGACACCTCAAGCACTGCGATGCAGTGCCTTAGACTGCTGCGCCACTCGGGAGGCCCCATACCATACATTTTCAACATCAGCTACAGAGAGATGAAGCAAAATATTACAACAGAACATTCTGTAACTGCAGTTAGAAACTTGCTGGAAATCACTGGCTAAACACTCTGCAGACATAACCAGGTGTTCTTCAATAAATACAGCAGCAGAGCTTTTGTTGCACCTCCTCACTCTTTACACATGCATCCATTTTATTTCAGAAGTCAATAAAGTACTGTCCAGGATCTGGCATTTGCAATCATTTTAGCAGCCATTTATTGAGCGGTTTTTAGTGATTGTGGCTTGTTTATGGCTCATCAATCTGCAAATGGAAATGCAACACAAAGTGTAAATAACCCAAGACGGTCCATTTCCTAACAAAATATTAATGCAGCGCTCCATATATATCCCTTGCTGGCTGGCTCTTAAAGGATTGGTAAGTGCCGGCCCTGGACCACTCTCAGGAGTGGCTGAGTGTATTCCACACAGATCACGCATGGAGAGGCTGTCTTTGGCTAAGGATACTCTCAGCTCACACCCTAAAATCTGGGTCAGAATTTACAGAAATATATACATATAAATAACTCATACTCTTGGACTCATACTCCTGCCTTATAAAAACAAAAAATAAAATACAAAAAATAATTATAACTGGCAAAATGTACAAGATAGTCTAAGATGTGAAAGTAGGCTAAAGCGTATGAAAGGGAGTTTACTCTAGAGCTTAACTATGTTTATGATAATCAACTTGTATGTACTGCACTTGAAGACAGTCCTTGGGTTCCAGGAAGTAAGGAGCAACATGAAAAGAAAAACTAAGAAGAACAACTAAAGAAGTACCTCGGTGCCTGGGGCAAGGCAGTTCTTCTGAGGCAGAACTCAGAAACACAGAAAACATGTAAGAGGGAGCTCTGCCTGGCATATCAGGATATGAATTTGGATGAATATTCAAGAGATTCATCTGACTCTGCAAGAGATTTATCTTGTCCTGAAATGTAAGAGATTTGGCTGGTTTTTGGACAGATAAATGTATCTGTTTGTACAGGCTCTCTTAGTCACGGCGGTGCTTTATTGCCAGCCTTCCCATACTTCTTGAATCTGGTCTCTAAAGTTTATTCTCCATTTTAAAGTAGGCTATTTTGCATGTGATTAATGCCTTAAAGTTAACATAAATCAACTGATATCTGGATTAGCAGCATAACCCAAAATTGTTAATGCCATACACGCAGTCCTGGTTAAACTGAATCGTTTGAGCAATGATCTACATTCATTAGAGAAAAGCTCAGCTTCATAACTGCATGGGTCCTATTTCTGATAGATTTTCAAGAGGTAAGAGGATACCCACAACTCAGTGGGTGATGAGAAAAACTGGCATTACCTTTGTCTTGTACTGCCCAGTTGAGATTGACAAGTGCAATCTGCTTTCTGCAAATACAAGTATGTTATTGCTGAAAGGGAGGGGGTTAAAAGGCTGACTAAGCAAGATGTGTTGACCTCACACTGTTGGTTCCTGTCAGAAACTGACGAATTAGATGATGACACAGTGAATCTGGCATTGTGGTTAAAAATGGTAATTTAATCACTGGCTAATGCTGCTGAAGCTGTCATTTTTGTGAAGGAAAACTTGCATCTACTAGTTATTCTATAAACTCATCAAAATAATGTTTCTCTAAGCTTATTTTCATTCCACTCTGGTATCGCTTGGTGTTGGCGAGAAAGAACGCCGTTGCATCTCAAGCCTTTGTCTAGAACTGGGCCTTGTTCCAAAGCTGAGTCTGAGATGAAGGTCAGAGGTTACGCTGACAAGAGAAGGATCTAGTTTTGAGACCATTCAGGCAACTGGTTTTGTGTCATGCATGTCAACTACGTATTGTAAACAAGTAGACATATAACTTATAGTTTGCCATCTTGTAGAGGAGGAAATGGTGACTTACTTAGGCTCACCTCCTCTCCTTTATAATAGAGACATATACAACCAAAACCTCTCTGCCTCAATAATACAATATTTCTCCTGTGTCTCTTATTTGTAGTTTCATCTCTGGGGATAAGACGAGAAAGCTGAGCCTTGACCTCATTCAGACTGCCTTCCATTGGCTCCTGAGGAGGTGGGCTGAATCATCCTGACTCGAGAGGTTCTGTTGAGATACGTACATCAACAAGCTATGGAGCGGAACCTCTTGCTCATGCGGATCAAGGTCTAGGGACATCTAAGGACATCTGACAACTAGGGTCTACCAACTCCTGATTCCTGTTCCTCTCCCTGTGAGAAGTGTTGTAGATCACGTAGATCACAACAATCGTTTTGCTGAGATGACTAGACAAGGGGGTATGTTACTGGGATAGAATGCTTTACACCAGAGCTCTGTATACGTTTGGAGCCAGCGGCAGGCTGAGATAAAGAGGGGATCGATGGCCAAGCCCCTCTACAGACTGCAGCGTTTCCTCCGGAGGGCCCAGCTGTTCCTGCTCTTCCTGGGTGTGGCCTACATCATGGCCGGGAGCGTCCTCCTGCTCCAACGGGCCAGCCTGGTGGTGACCCAGCGAGGGGCCACCAGCCCTCCACTGCCCTCCCTGCCCTCCTTACCCTCACCACCCCGGGCCCTGGAGCTGGGGGTGCCACCCGTGAGGGTAGGAGGCTACGGGGGCAGGAGCTCACGGATCATGGCCAGGGGGCAGGGGTACCAGCCTGGGAGCCCATTGGACGACAGGACTGGAGCACGGTGGCTCATGTCGAGGAATCTGGAGATCCGACACCTGCGGCGCCGCTGGTTCCACAGTCTGATGACGGAGAAGGATATGTCACAGGTGGAGAGGAGCACCCCCAGGAGGAATGCGCCTCACAAAGGTACCTATCTACCTATCCCAGAAATTAGGAAAATTCTCTGCCATATAGAGTGGAGATTCTGAAGGGGTGTTGTATTCTATAAATTAGCTATGTGGCAACTCCTCAAGTTTTGGAGACGCTACCTGAAAAGTGGTTGACAAAATGAAATAACACAATGACAGACTACTTAACCTGTAACTAATGCTTTGCTGATTTATGTATGTTTGTTTGTTTGTTCTTAAGGTTCTTACATGGGCTGCTTCCTGGACAATTCCAAGGAGCGGGCTTTGAGGGGATCTGTATCCAATGATTTCCGCAAAATGACCAGCACCATGTGCCAGGATACCTGCTCAGCGAGGTACGTGGAGCTCCATCCTGCCTCAACACACTATTATCACATCTTTCACAACACAGGACGTATTTCACATCTCAGGAGGAGCATATCATCAACATTATATAACCCCCATTCCCATCCTATCATCTCTGCAGATTAAACTGTGCTGAATCTGTGTATCGGGAATGTACCCACAGATAGGCAGACCATAGAATTAGCAAAGCATAGGCATATGCTCAGCCTGAGGAGCTCCACGATACTTGACTTGTATTAACTGGTAATGGAACAGGGTTTGGGGGGAAGAGTGTAAGCACAGACCTACAGTTGCGGGAGCTCTAGCTGGCTTGTCCCAGGCGGAGAATTTGAAGCCTCCGAATTAAGGACGTGTGAGCAGAGGAGTAGAGAGGAGCAGTGAGGAGTGTTGTAGCCTCTGGTCTCCCAGGGCAGATGTTGAAGGGGTTGAGGAGGGGGGTTGGAGAGATGGAGTGATCTGCAGTGAAGGACTATGGAGCGACAAGCAGGCAGACTGCTTCAGTCTCTGTTAGTATTAATTGTGCACCAGAGCAAAAGGAGCGAGACAAACGGTACTCCCCTAATTAACCCCTAGGGTAGCGGAGCGTGCAGCATTTGCATTGCTGTTGAATTCAATATTAACATACTGTATGTTCTCGTGTTATACGCATGGTTCAGCATAGTTATAGAAAAAACATTACTGTTGAAAAATAATACTTTTTAAGCAATCAATATATGAAATACGTTTCTTACGAAGAACCAGATTGTTTAATGATTACGGATGTGTTGTGAATACTTTGAGTTGATGTAAACTGTTACCAGAGTTTCAGATCTATCTGAATGTCATTTATTACAGTGGCTACCAGTTTGCTGGTCTGGAGTACGGGTCGGAGTGTTACTGTGGCAACCACATCACCAGCCTGCGTGTGAGAGATGAGGAGTGTAACTTGGACTGTAAAGGGGAGAAAGGCTCCCCGTGTGGAGGTGTTGGACGCCTGTCAGTGTTCAAGGTGGAGGATTTGCTTCCAGGCCAGAGGAGATGTGAGTATGAGGGACCTGGTCCAATGTTGAGTGCTGGGGAACAGCAGGAGATCGAGTCAAGCTGATAAAGCATCGCATTCATTGTCAGGAGAGCACACATTTGTTACACACCCACACAGACAAGTCTAGGGCTCTGCTTCCAGGGAATGTGCAGGTGTGTTCTGTGTCTGTATTGAAGCCTTATGGCTGAGAATTGCAGCTGTGCAAAATACCTCTCCTGTTTTTGCAGACAGGAACGTGCGTTACCGCGGCTGCTTCAAGGAGCCTGAGAACAGCACCTCTACATCCCTGGTCCATGTGCTCCAGCCCAACCTCACCTCCCAGTCCTGCATAGAGACCTGCATGAACAAGGTTGGACCCTTAGGGTGCCATTGCCAGCATTTTGCAGTATGACGTTGCTTATAAATAAATTGTTTCAGCATTTACGATGTGCTTTTGAAGAGTTTTTGAATGCCCTATAAACCCATTATACGTTTTAGTTTGTTTCAAGTGTGACCAAATTTGCCTGGCCTAGGAGTTTCCGCTGGCTATGCTGAGGAGTCCGGACTGTTTCTGTGGTTACACTACTCCTGACTTCACTCTCCATGAGCCGGCTGAGGAGGAGCACTGTTCACGGATCAACACCACTGAAGCCTCCTTACCATCAACCCTCCAGCACTTCTACCAGGTCTACCAGACACCTGTCCAAGGTAACACGGTCAGACAACCAAAAAAGCATTCTTCCTTCAAATCCAGGACTGCCTGTCACGTTCGTTGATTGACGGGACGGACCAAGGCGCAGCGTGATATGCATACATGTTTATTATAACGAATAAACAACGACAAAACAATAAACCAACGACACGTGAAGTCCTAAGGTAACACACAACAAACCTCACACGGGACAAGATCCCACAACCCACTAGTGCCAAAAGGCTGCCTAAGTATTGTCCCCAATCAGAGACAACGAGCTACAGCTGCCTCTGATTGGGAACCACACCGGCCAACATAGACCTACAACATAGACTATATATAACAAAGAATATACACACCCTGACTCAACATATAAGAGTCCCTTGAGTCAGGGCGTGACAGTACACCCCCCCCCAAAGGTGCGGACTCCGACCGCACAACATAAACATAACAGGGTGGGCATTCCGCTCGTGGCGTGACGACCTCTCACTCTCCGCCTCCCTGTTGCGCCCCTGGTCTGGTCTGGACCTCGGCGCGCTACTTCCCCTCTCCTTCCTCCCACGATACGCCAGGCCCTGTCTGACGTCATGGTCTGGACTGGAGCCGCTGACCAGAGCTGGACTGGGCACCGGTGGAGCGGACTACTCTGGCTCCGGAGTGGAGCCGCTGACCGGAGCAGGATTGGACCCCGGTGGAGCGGACTGCTCTGGCTCCGGAGTGGCGCAGCTGACCGGAGCTGGATCAGGCACCGGTGGAGCGGACTGCTCTTTCTCCGGAGTGGAGCAGCTGACCGGAGCTGATCAGGCACCGGTGGAGCGGGCATGGGCCGTGCCGGACTGGACAAACGCACCACAGGCTTGTTGCGAGGGGCAGGAACGGGCCGGGCCGGACTGGCAACGCGCACCACTGGCTTGGTGCGAGGAGCGGGAACAGGCCGGGCCGGGCTGGCGACGCGCACCACTGGCTTGGTGCGAGGAGCAGGAACAGGCCGGGCTGGCGACGCGCACCACTGGCTTGGTACGAGAAGCAGGAACAGGCCGGGCCGGGCTGGCGACGCGCACCACTGGCTTGGTGCGGGGAGCAGGAACGGGCCGGACCGGTCTGGCGACACGCACCACTTGCTTGGTGCGAGGAGCAGGACTGGGTTCCTTTATTAACCCCTTCTGCTGCCTAACCAGCTCCTCTCGCCGTGCCTCTACACCTTCCTTCTCCCTTCTAGCCTCCTGTAGCGCCTCCCTCTGACCGAATACCTCCTGCTCCCTCTGAACCAATAGCCCCCGTAATCTGGTGGCCTCCTCACCTAACCAGCAGATCCGCCCTATCGCGGCCTCCTGCTGCCTCGTCGTCCACACCGTGTGCCCCCCCCAAAAAAATGTATTGGGGTTGCCTCTCCACCCTGATCCCTTTCAGGGCCTCCATCTTTCTTGCCAGATCCTATCTTATCTCCTGCCAAGTCCATCCTCTCTGCTCCTCCTCGGCCCACTGCTTGGTCCAGGTCTGGTGGGATCTTCTGTCACGTTCGTTGATTGACGGGACGGACCAAGGCGCAGCGTGATATGCATACATGTTTATTAGAACGAATAAACAACGACAAAACAATAAACCAACGACACGTGAAGTCCTAAGGTAACACACAACAAACCTCACACGGGACAAGATCCCACAACCCACTAGTGCCAAAAGGCTGCCTAAGTATTGTCCCCAATCAGAGACAACAAGCTACAGCTGCCTCTGATTGGGAACCACACCGGCCAACATAGATCTACACATAATAGACCTACAACATAGAATATATATAACAAAGAATATACACACCCTGACTCAACATATAAGAGTCCCCTGAGTCAGGGCGTGACACTGCCGACCTTGTGAAATCATTTTAAGCACTGCTTTGGCATGACACCAAACTCCACTTTGCACCACGCAAAGTCAAATCAATCACTCAAATTCTGTTGGACTTTGTCTTCTGCAATTCAGTATGTTTCTGAGCAGACTATGTACAACTTAATTTAAAATGTTACACTCCTCTCTCCCAGACTCCAGATGCACAGAGAGGAAGTTCCTACCAGAGAAGTCCAGTTCATTGGTAGCGCTCTCCAGCTTCCCAGGAGCAGGCAACACCTGGGTCAGACACCTCATAGAGTTGGCCACAGGATACTACACAGGCAGCTACTACTTCGATGGAACCCTTTACAACAGAGGTCAGCTCCTACACTGTACAGTCACTATGTGTTTACACTGGATAGGAAAGAGGGCACCCATACTTTAGGAAATCTGTCACTTTTGTCCTTGGCCATCTGTTGTGCAGATCCAGCTATTTGCCTTAGTCCATAATGAATTTAAGATACTTTTTTTTAGTTATCATCCATACCCCTCTGTCTGGCTTGGTTTATACAGCCAAAGATAAAAGCAAAAATATTTCCAGGTTTGTGTATCTGTGTCTTGGTGTTGTGTAGGCTTCAAAGGGGAGAAGGATTACTGGAAGAGTGGTCGGACCATCTGTGTGAAAACACATGAGAGTGGGAGGAGAGAGATAGAGAAGTACGACTCTGTCATCCTGCTGATCAGGAGCCCGTACCGTTCCCTCATGGCTGAGTTCAACAGGAAGTGTGCAGGACATCTGGGATACGCCTCTGATCAGCACTGGAAGACCAAAGGTACACAGCCAGCCTGGAATCAGGGTTTTCTTGTGGCTTGTATTAATCATGTACAGTATAGTACACCAGCCAAAGTAGGAGACCTTCTGGGACCGTGTTTTTTTTTTATTGCAGGAGGGAGGGTCTGTTTGTCTGTCTGCATTGTGTGAGTTGATGTTCTTTTTGAAAAGTACTGCACAATACCATGCTCCCCCCCTTGTAGAGTGGCCTGAGTTTGTGAGCAGCTACGCCTCCTGGTGGGCATCCCACGTACTGGACTGGCTGCGGTTCGGCCAGCGGGTCCTAGTGGTCCACTTCGAGGAACTCCAGACGGCACTGGTGCCCCGGCTACGATCCATCGCCTCCTTCCTCAACGCCACAGTGACCGAGGACAGACTGCTGTGTGCCGAGAGCAACCAGGATGGACACTTTAAACGCTCCGGGGCCCGGCGGCCCACCTTCGACCCCTTCACACCCGACATGAGAGGACTGATAGATGGGCTGATCCGTGCGGTGGACCAGGCTCTCCTGGACAGCAACCACACAGGCCTTCCACTGGAGTACCTGCCCAGATGATGGACAGCTAAACTCTGATAACCCTGATCTCTACCTTGTCCACTACCCTGTCCCTCCTCGGTTTACACTGCCTTAAAGCTGTGGTGGCACAGATGGATGGATACCCCCAATCCAACCCAAGAGAAAGCGTTTCAAATCAGGAGCGTGCCATACAAAGGAAGCATAGTCGTATAGACAGAGGCTAATCTCACAAAACACTTTTTATGTTTTAGAAGCGCTGGTTTATCAAAATGCTGTCTTTCTGTTTTAGAAGTGTTCTGCTTTTTGGGACATTGCCTTATTGGGGGTGAACTGATAAGTGTTCCAAACAATGGAAACTGTATCCTCTGTTTTAAATCAACTCTAAATAAACTGTACCTCCTATAAAACTATATGCTACATCCTGTGGTACAATCCACTTTGAGTTTTGTTTTTGTGATCAAAATATAAAAACTAAATATATTGGATTACAACATAATAAAGTGACATTTTAAATATCTAATGCAGGCAACTTCCTCAGAAAAGGGATACTGTTGTAATATGAGTTAACATTGCAGTGTTTTTAAGGTGGTGTTTTAGGCATATTCCGAATGAATGGGTTCCTATGGTAATACTGACAAAACATAATTAGACCATCAAATAACCGAAGTAAACAAAATATACCTCTATCCAAAAACTATCTTGGGGGATCAACTACACTACAGCCAAGGGAAGTGGAACAAATCTGTCAGGTTGTATTTTCAGTGCTACATCCCCAGAGAGGAGAGGGAGAGTGAGCAGGCCCATGACAGAATGATCTGTCCCAGGTCAAGAGAGTTGCGCTGGACCAGGCCAGACAGACAGACAGTCCCAGCCTAGTCCTCTATACTAATCTGTACTGAGCTGATAAGCGCAGCAGCTCTGGTTGTGTGGGCGATGCACTGTGGAGTGTCTGGATTTACAATTGTATAATATGGTACTCTCTCTCTTTCTCTCTGTCTCGGTCTCTCTCTGTCTCGGTCTCTATCTCTCTCTCTCCCTGTCTGCAGCATTTAATACGCTAATGGAAAATATTTGTTAAATGTTTTTTGGAAAACAGCTTAAAGTGATATATCAAAATACCGAACTACATGTTGTATTCCTATTAGGCCTTATTACACAAATACACATTATAAAGCTTGTATATCCTGAAAATAAAACGGTATATTTGAGCAGAGACCATGGGTATGAAAGGATGAGGTGAAATTCTGGGAAATGGGGGGAATACATGCTGAGCAGATTTTTCTATTGGGGGCCGAAGTAGGGTTGATATTAATATCCAGTGCCACTTGGTGAAAGTGAATGCTACAATACAGATTGGAGGTTGGTATTGGTATGAGCAAGTCTGTTTTTCCAGTCTAATGTACACTTGGCGCCATCGTGTGGACATTAAGTAATATTTTGGGATTATAGGTAAAGGGATAGTTCCCTCAAAATATATATTTTTCAATTTACCTTGGCTGTGGTCGATTCACCATAGCTATGCCACTACTGCAACTATGGAAGAATAAACAAACATTTAATCAAGAGGTTACTAAAACGTGTTATGTCCGAACCTGCAATTTACCTCAACACTGATAAAGTACACTGTGATAAGTACATATACCTAAATGCTGTCCCAGGGACCTAATTCACCAGTTTACATTCTCCTGTCTTTATCAGGCATTGTAATATAAAATCCACCAGATGGTGTCAGGGTAAGACCTATTGAACATCCGAACAGGACAGGTAAATGTACATTACAGCCATTCCATAAGCATATCGTCCAGATTAGACAACAATCAATATTATTTGTATCCATGGACTAGTTTTTGACAAAACTGCACGATAGAAAGCATGTGTACACATTCATTTCATTAGTATGATTTGTGTGTGGTGATTTTATATGTTTAGTTGCATGGTGTATTCTGCTGAGACGTCATTTTTCTCCCCTATTTCTGGCAGCAGGAGAGAGGTGTCAAGGTGTTACATTTAAGAGGCTCATCAGCTTATTCAGGATATGGGTCAGCAAAGGTGGAGTTGCTTTTCGACCCACCTCCCAGCACTCTCTCTCTCCCTCCCTCTCGCTCTCTTCTCTCTCTCTCTCTCCCTCCCAGCACTCTCTCTCCCTCTCTCTCTCTCTCCCTCTCTTTCTTGATATCTTTATTTCTCTCTCTCTGTGTGTGTGTCTCTCTCTCTCTCACGCACACATGCACACGCACACGCACACACACATTAATATGAATATGTATGATGAACGTAAACTAAAAAATGTGCTCTCATTCAGTGCTGTATGGTCCTGCCTGACAAAATTACATACAGTTACACGTGTTTTGATGTTGTGGCTATTGTAACTGGCTCTAAGGAAAACACCCTCTAAACTCAGTAAGTGCAGAATAATGCTTGGCTGGAGGGGGTGGGGGGTTGTAGTTCATACATGCATAATCTATGAGCAGAATTACTGTTTTACCTCAATTAGCCCCGAAATCCCTAGTTTGAAAAATGATTGTTTACTAGCTGCTGTGGGGCGCCATTTTCCCCCACGTGGGCCAGCCCCCTAGCAATTCGAGTTCCATATGAGTGACAGCTAGCAAGATCCACACACAGCAGAGCAAGAGACAGAGAAATGAAGTGGTGCACATATCTGCACATGTGACGTAATGTACGCGTTTTTCGGGGACCACTTTTGGCTTGTGGGCGCTACTTTCAGAACTTCAGGCTAAAAAGCATACAAAGTACCAGATAATATCTTTGATAGACAACTCTCCAAGTCAATTCAGTGCTGTATGGTCCTGCCTGACAAAAATACATACAGTTACATGTTTTTTTTAATGTTGTGGCTATTGTAACTGGCTCTATGGAAAACAAGTGTGCTGAGACAGTGAAAACTGTCATTTCTTTTCAGTCAAAGATTCCTCTGTGGATTTTATATGTTCAGCATTTTGCAATTACGTTGGGGGGGCCCCCGAGATTTGACTCCAAATCCATAATGGAGTCCAAAATCCAATATGGCTGCCACAGTACCATTAACCCCTCTATGGACAGATGAGACTCTCACGAACTTGATGGTTTTCTTCGTTTCGCTCTACGGCCCCCACAAGCGTCTTGGGACTCGTCTGAAGTCGGTACAGCCGACCTGCCAACTTCTGTCCGTAGTGTCCGAACAGTTTCGGCTACACACTAATATGACCCCTCTGTGGAAAGGTGAGACTCTAATGAACACGTACATGTTGCCCACAGGCCTAACAAGACTCGTCTGAAGGTCCCCCGTTACCAGTTGAAAAAATTAATGGAAGTATATATGGACAGTGGTGTAAAGTACTTAAGTAAAAATACTTTAAAGTACTACTTAAGTAGTTTTTTGGGGTAACTGTACTTTACTTACTATTTATATTTTTGATATTTATACTTTTACTTGTAATTCACTACATTCCTAAAGAAAATTATGTACTTTTTACTCCATACATTTTCGCTGACACCCAAAAGTACTCATTACATTTTGATTGCTTAGTAGGACAGGAAAATGGCCCAATTCACGCACGTATCAAGAGAACATCCCTGGGCATCCCTACTGCCTCTGATCTGGTGGATTCATTAAAAACAAATGCTTCATTTGTAAATGATGTCTGCATGTTGTAGTGTGCCCTTGGCTATCCGCAAATTTAAAAATTTTAAAAATTGTGCTGTCTGGTTTGCTTAATATAAACAATTTGAAATGATTCATACTTTTACTTTTGATAAATAAGTATATTTTAGCAATTACATTTGCTTTTGATACTTAAGTATATTTAAAACCAAATACTTTTAGACTTTTACTGAAGTAGTATTTTACTGGGAGACTCACTTTTACTTGAGTCATTTTCTATTAAGGTATCTTTACTTTTACTCAAGTATGAGTATATGGAGACTGTTTAGTGCCAAAAATAAGGGGTTAAATACATGTAAAAAAACAACAACAAATATCTCTTATATCTCTCCTTTAGATTTTTTTGGGGGACTATCTGTTGTTCCATGTAGTGAACATGTTGTTCAATGCATTTGTATGGGCTAATAGCAGTAAGGCCAAAAATATTTTTTCATCAAATAATGTTTTAATATTTTTGTTTGATACTTCAAGAGGTCTTAAAATTCCAAATCAAATAGCAAAATGACCCTTGGTATTCCAGATAGCGTAGTAGACCACTTGTTTTCCTTAGAGCCAGTTACAATAGCCACAACATCAAAATACATGTAACTGTATGACATTTTGTCAGGCAGGACCATACAGCACTGAATGAGAGCCAATTTGACTTGGAGAGTTGTCTATTAATCAGCTACCAAACATTTTAGTTTACGTTCATCATACATATCCATATTCATCATAAATATTCAGAGTTGATAGTTGTGTATACTGGTCTATATTTCCTAGATGCATTAAGATATTCTAATGCGGTTTATTTGTGTATGTAAGGCAGACAACTGACTATTTGTATTCCAAATTTGAGCAATACCAGTGCTTGCAATATTGGGTTACATTAGTTTATGTGGCCCATCCCCCCCTCCAGCCAGGCATTAGTCTGCACTTTTTGAGTTTAGTTTTTGAGTAAAATATTTTGACACAACCAACCATTTCATAAATGGGAGACATTAGAGATGTGAAAAAATATGTCTGTGTTTTGTTCGACCTCGGGTAGAGGTATAATTTGTTTTGGGGGGGGGGTCCCTGCCACTAGCCTAATCTGTCTAAATTGCCACTGGGTTCCTGAAACGCTTCGTCAAAACAGCTGAAATGACTGACGCAGGCAAATATTAAGGAGCTCAGGGGATACACGCGCAGGGAGAACCCTTCGTTAACGTTAATTATCCCCTCTACACCTGAGAGCAAATTCAATTTAAGTGTGGGGCCTATCATTGTCACATAAAGACATCAGACCAATTATTGCTCGGTGCATGGTGTTCATGCAACAAGCTATCTCCATGGCAAAGGAAAATAAATCAGTTATGTGACCCTAGATAAAATACTTTCAGTTTTTCATCTTCATCACTGTTTTTAGTGCCAAACAGAAAATGTATAATTATATTTCTTTAGAGCCCTCTCTGTAAATGGAAATGTGATTTTCTACAGAATATAGGCCCAGGCTACTATCTTGACAAGGCTTTGTGAGACGGTAATGTGTTTCTGAGACTCCAACGTACGTTGACAATCCTCTTATAGTGTGCCTTACCGAATATGGATTAGGTCAGGGTGCAGCACCCATTTTGCCTACAGGTCATTTTGAAGGGCTTTGATTGAATTGGTTTGGTTGATCTTGCCCTGCTATAATTTATAATATATATTCGTTAGACATTCAATATAAATACGTTTTACATTGAAGAAAATATCACTTTATTTTAAGTGCTTTAGTAGTCTACGTTTCTGCAACCTGTTGAGCATCAGGTAACCTTTACTTTCCAAGAAGGATATCTTACAAGGAAAAGTAATGTTAGTCTGTTTGAATCTAATGAGCTAACATTATAAGGTGAGAAAAACTGGTATTTGTGTGTGTAGTGTACCTGTGGAGGAAGCGCTAGCCTCGTGAAGCGCTAGCAGCGGGATGTGAGGAGCTCTCCAGGGTGCTGAAGTTGAATGACACAACTGAGCTCCTGCCTCTACCTCAGCCTCACTCTGTCAAACAAACCAGAAAGATAATGAGGTGTTGTGTCTTCAACTGGGCAACGGTATGACATTTCACATGAGTGAAAATATAGAGAATACTGGAATGGTGAGGTGAGGTGATGATTACTGAAAAAAACAGGAGTGTTAAAAAACTATCTTCAGACTTCTCAGCTTTCAAGAAGGCCAAGAAAAGCAATGGTAAGTGCAACCTATTATGATTCAAGCTATGCTATTTCACGAGTGTTTTTTGGGGAAAACATGCTATCAAATACAGTGATCTCACTCTCACATCGCCTACTTTGTTTTAACAATATGCAGTTCAATAAACTTTGAAGTAGCCTAACCCTAATTAGAAATTATGTTCAAATAAATAGGCTACCCTAAACTTTTTTTTGCAGGTGTCTTTGGTTTGGTTTATAATGCTTTGATGTAGGATCAGATCACAGTTCACCAATACGGATACTCAAGCAGGATAATGCAACATATTCCTCTAAATGTTGGAGGTGTGCTATGGGACTTATCCAACTATCCCTACAGCCCCACCATTTTCAAGAGCAGACACAGCCTTGCAACGCTGCCATTCTATAACTTTCTGCTATGGGTCCTGCTCGGGGTTTTGACGTTTCCATGCTGTGTCCAGTGTTTAATCTTCAAAGTTGGGGTCATTGGGCCCTGGAACTGCGACCCGGTCTACTCCAAGGCCCTACCTGCGGTGGCCGCTAAACTGGCCGTGGGCAGAATAAACGAGGATTTCAGTTTAGATTTGGGAAGCAAATTGGACTTCGTGATCCTGCAAGAAGCCTGTGAAACGTCTAAAGCGTTAACCACATTCGTGTACTACGAGAACATGGTAGACGGTTTCGTCGGGCCCACGAATCCAGGATACTGTGACGCAGCCTCACTTTTGGGCAAAAACTGGGATAAAGCTATCTTTTCCTGGGCTTGTATTAATTATGAGTTGGATCGAATCAAGGGCTACCCAACCTTCGCACGGACACTGCCGTCACCTACGCGGGTGTTGTTCACGGTGTTGAAGCATTTCAGTTGGGCCAACATCGGCATCGTGTCTTCCAATGAGGATATCTGGATGGACACCGCGGTTAAAGTGGCCAACTCCCTGCGGAGCCAGGGACTTCCCGTTGGCATAGTAGCGTCGGTGGGAATAAACGAGACTGAGATGGAAAGCACACTGAGCAGAATCCAGGCTGCGGGGGAGATCAAAGGCAAGTGTTTTAAACAACGTATTTACCTTCTCTTTGCTGAAGTTTTAAATACTGGAGTGATACGAGTGAAGTAAGTGCAGGCTATGCTATCAAGCCTCACAAGACTGTAGGCCTACACAAAGTTTAAAGGGGTAATCCGCAGTTGAAACAATAACAAAGTATTCCTGCCCCTGTTTCGGAAATAAACTGAGGGATGGGGCTGGAGAAATGTAACCACTTTCAAATTCATAGACAAGCTATGGATACAAGTACTAACCATCCATGATATCAACATTATAGTTTTAACCATGTTTTGAGGCTATAAAGTGTTTGTTTACATTTACTTTGTTTACAAACATTGGAGTAAAACAAGCTTCTATTTTGGGTTCTGAAACAAGCTTCTATTTTGGGTTCTGATGGGGTACAACAGTTGAACTAAGCTCATGAGGCATTTATAAGTTATATTCTTCTAGAATCAATGGGTACATTAATTTATAATTCCCAAATGTTATGTAGCAACTGCATATTGCCCCTTTAAGATAGGGTCATCTTGGGCAATGATGAATGTTACCTCCACAAGTGTTGATGAAGTTATTTCCGACTTGATTAGGGGTTGTCAGGGTTGTCTCTCAAGTGTGAATCAATGCTATCATGAATGAATCATTTGTTTGCAGTAGGATGATTCAGCAACATGCACAGAGATGCAATTCCTTCATGCACATGGTCATTGCAGGTGTCAACCCCTCACTGTCTCTGTCCTGTGTGTTCCAGTGATCATCATGTGCATGCACTCTGCTCTGATTGGTGGAGAGCAGCAGACAGCCTTCCTGCTGAAGGCCCATGAGATGGGTCTGACGAAGGGCCGCTACGTGTTTCTCCCCTACGACACCCTGCTCTACAGCCTGCCCTACGCCAACACATCCTACTTCCCCCTGCAAAACAACACCAAGCTGCGGCAGGCCTACGACGCCGTGCTCACCATCACCGTGTCTTCTGATCTGATGTCATTCAACGAGGCGTTCAACATGGCCAAGAGGTTTGAGGAACTCACCATATCACTGGTCCCACAGCAGGTGAGGAGGGTGCTTGATATTTTCAATTGTGGGATGTGAGTGGAGTCCATCTGAATTTCAATTGATTGTTATGTTATCACATTGTTATTACAATAGTATTATAAATATGCAATTGATTGCATTTATTGAACATTGGTTATGTAGAGAAACACCATAGTCTTCAGGTCATTTGATATATAACTTAATTTTTTGAGTTTTAGATCAATTTATCACTCTCAGTTTGGGAAAGCTAATTACTTTACCAAATAAACCATTTATCAATGGCCTCCTTGCGTTCTAGGTCAACCCCCTGTTTGGAACCATCTACAACAGTATTTACCTCCTTGCCAAAGCCATGCACAACGCCAGGAGAGCTGGCCAGTGGCTCTCTGGGACCAACCTAGCTTATTTCACCAGGAACATGACGTTCTCTGGCTTCAACCAGAAGATCCAGATAGACACTGAAGGGGAGAGCCAGACCAACTATGTCATCCTGGACTCTGACGGATGGGAGGGTCAGCTGTACCGCTCCTATCTGGTGGACCTGAGCGTTGACATGGTCCGCTTCGCGGGCAAATCCATTAACTTCCCCGGGGGTTCCCCTCCCCCCTCAGACTCCAGCTGTTGGTTTGAACCAAACACAATCTGCACTGGAGGTAGAGAACCTGTTTCAAATCAAATTGTATTTGTCACATGCGCCGAATACAACAGGTGTAGACCTTACCGTGAAATGCTTACTTACAAGCCCTTAACCAACAATGCAGTTCAAGAAATAGAGTTAAGAAAATATAAGTTGCTAGTTTGTGTCTTTCATTCTTCCATCACCCAACCAAACTATGTATTTAGTCTCCATGTCTTACCTGTGTCTCAGGTGTGGAGATAACCTACGTCATAGTGGTGTTTGTGATTATCTTCGTTCTGATCGTGGGAGGACTTGGTCTAAGTCTGTTCGTAAGGTAACTCTTCTCACTGTGCTGTTCATCTGTTTCTTACTGTATTTTTATGCTGTCTAGATACATAGAGACTATAAACCCAGACAGAGATAGTTGGTATTGCTGTGCTGTGATCTTGGCTGACATGCTCTCTGATTGTCTGGCAGGAGGAGAATCCAGCAGATCCAGTTGGTGAAGGGGCCCAATCGGATCCTACTGACTCTAGAGGACCTCACGTTCATCAACCCTCAGCTTAGCAAAAGGGTAAATATATTTCCCATGTGATTCTCTACAACATTACCTCTATCTGATATACTGTATGTTCATTCATCTATTTTATGCCTCATAGAAAATCACTCTAGAGGACCTGAGTGACTCTAAAAGTGTGATAGACAACAACAGTATGCATTCAGGAGACCCGCACCACTCTGTGAACAGCATCACTACAGCAACACATGAGACCACAAATGTAGCTGTCTATGAGGTAAGTTGACGATGTTGACCGTTGAACCACAAGTCGACTTTTCATTCCTATCCCAAAAGATTTCAACGTGACTTGTAGAGAATGGAGCCAGGATAAAACCACATATTTTCTTCCATGGCTTCACAGGGCGACTGGGTGTGGCTGAAAAAGTTTGAAGAAGGCCATTTCAAGGAAGTCAAGCAGAGCACCACCAAGATCTTTACAAAGGTAAAAGAGAACATAACAATAACAGCAAGTTCAAGCACAAGTACAGTGAAATGCTTGCGAGCTCTACCCAACAGTGCAGTAATCAATATCTAAAATAGTATAACTAATACAAACATTTAAATGTATTATACTATAAAGATAACACAAGAAATAAGAATACAATGTATAGAGTCATGTCTGGGATGTGAGTTTGTTTTTGTTAACTTTGGGGTCTTCATTTTGTGTGAATGTGTCCAGATGAAGGATCTGCGAAATGAGAACATCAATCCGTTCCTGGGGTTCTTCACAGACTGTGACATGTTTGCTGTGGTGACAGAGCATTGTTCCCGTGGCAGCCTGCAGGACCTCCTGAGGAACGACGACGTCAAGCTGGACTGGATGTTCAAGTCTTCTCTGTTGCTGGACCTAATCAAGGTATGACATGCTTGATGTGTCATGTTACAGAACTTTTTCTACTAGTCTAATTTGTCCCAATAAGATTTTAAAATATCTTCTAAAAGCTGTTTTGGCCAGCAGATCATGTTAATTTAAAATGTTTTTCCGGTACCTTGTCATAAGTAACACCAATGGTTTACCAGTGTTGATCATATTGGCCTCTCAGGGTATGAAGTATCTGCACCATCGTGAGTTCCCTCACGGCCGGCTGAAGTCACGGAACTGTGTGGTGGACGGACGCTTCGTCCTCAAGATCACAGACTACGGCTTTAACGAGCTGCTGGAATCCCAGAAATCCCCCCAAAATCTAGTTCCACCTGAGGGTAACATCTATGCCTAGATCTGCAAATATTTTGACAAAATGTTCACTCTTCCATATCATGTTAAATCGACAGTGCAGTCACAAACGTGATTTTACTGTGTTTTATATATATTTCCACACTATGAGGTTGAAATGATCTTGTGAAATTTTGAAAATTATGTTAATTCCCTTTTAGTGTAAGAGTTGATTGAAAAGACTGCCTTAAATTTCAGCTTGTTTTGCATGGCTGGGGTTGTGGACCGCCTGGTGACATCATAACAAAGATAGTTTTCCCTCCTCTCTGCCAATAACAATTAGTTTTCAGGTTACACATCCCTCCCACTAGGCTCCTCCAGTTAGGCCCCTCTCTCAGACCACTCCCAGAAAGTCCTAGCAAAATTCTTGCTTGAGAAATGTCATTTTACTAAGAAGCTATTTTTTTTTGTTTTTGACCATTTTAATTGAAAATAATCACAGTAAGGTACTTAATTGTTACCCAGAAATGATTTGATATTGAGATCAAAATGGCTGCATTGGACCTTTAAAGATGGACTTGATGCACAATCGTTTGTATTTCTAGTTTGTGAGCATAAATCTATGTCATTTAAATGTGCTGCATTTAACTACCATGCCAAAATCGTGACCCTGTGCCTCTCTATCTCAGATCAGTTTTGGACAGCTCCAGAGTTCCTCAGAGACGTGGAGAACTCTCGGAAGGGGACCTATAAAGGAGATGTGTATAGTTTTGCCATTATACTCCAAGAGGTGGTCGTCCGAGGACTTCCATATTGCATGCTGGGTCTGACTCCTGCGGGTAGGTCTGGGGGATACAAAACAAGCAAAACCATACAATCCACTCTGAGAGGCAATTTTTTGTTTTACCTTGAGGTCATTTTTCTGTCAATTGATTGATTAGTTATACTGGTATCTATCGAGTAATGTCAGAGTTCACAATACTTTTCCTATCTACAGTGTATAATGTAGCAACATATTGTACATACAGCATTTCTGCTTTGCTTTGACAAACTGTCTGGTACCAGCTGCCAATAAGCTGTGTAATGAGTTGTTATGCTCCCGTGCTGCTGCTATATAACCTCTCTCCCTCCCCATCAGAGATAATCCGTAAGGTGAAGAAGCCTCCTCCCATGTGCAGGCCCACAGTGGCCCCAGATCAGGCTCCTCTGGAGTGTATTCAGCTGATGAAACAGTGCTGGAGCGAACAGCCTGACCGGAGACCAGCCTTCGATGAGATCTTTGACCAGGTCAGCAATCCTCATCTGTCTCCATGGTTACCTGCTGTCAATGTCATAGCAGGGTAATGCAGGGAATATGTCTGGGTAATTATAGGCTGTGGACAGCAGAAATTGGTCTGTCAGCACTCATGGGCCGGGTCCGAAATCTGTCTTGCCTACTACTTAATAAAATGACATACTGTGTACTAATCGTATTACATACTATTTAGAACGTACTGTTTAGTAAAAACGAATGCAGTATGCAACAAATATCAACATACTAGGCTCACCCATCCTGAGAATGTGTAATCCAATAATGAGCAATTGCATTGATTCTCGCCATTTGTTTATTTGGGAACAGCGCATCCCCTTATCTCATTATCAGCAGATTATTAGCTGTTGTCAAACACACATGAGTCTGGAATAGGGTTGCAAAATTCCTGGAACTTTCAATACATTTCCTGGTTTTCCCAAAATTCCGGTTGGAGGTTCTCGGAATCAGGAGTGAATAAGCAGGAAATCCAGAATCCTCCACCCAGGGTTTCTGGAAAACCAGGAAATGTATTGAAAGTTCATGGAATTGTGCAACCTTATTCTGAAAAGACGATTCTCTTCCTCAAAAGTGTGCAGCGAATTCTACTAGATGAAAAGACGAAATTAGTATAACATCCTGGTATTTAAAGCATATTTGATTTTCGAAATTTCACTTACTATAAAACTAAATATTTTCGCATACCTAAAATGCATACTATTTAGAACGCTAGTATGGGTATTCAGACAAGGACAAAGTCTTGTCTCATAGCTTTATGGATTTTTACAGAGATCATAAGTCATACCTGATATTACATAATGTAGTGGTGCACCGATGATGATGATGATGATGATGATGATGATGGTGGTGGTGGTGGTGGTGTTGTGTCAAAGTTCAAGCTGATCAACAAGGGCAAGAAGACCAACATCATTGACTCCATGTTGCGGATGCTGGAGCAGTACTCGTCTAACCTGGAAGACCTGATCAGAGAGAGGACAGAGGAGCTGGAAGTGGAGAAACAGAGGACAGAGAAACTGCTCTCTGAGATGCTACCTCCGTGAGTCAAGCATCATGTTATAACACACACAGAGACAACTAAATAAGACAATTGGCATCTTGTTATTTCAAGATACCGTTCTTGTATGATGCCAAGGGTATTATCCTTCCATCACATGATACAGTACCGTATTTTTAACTTTGAAGGATTGTTTGTTGCTCTGTGTCACGTTACCACTAACACAAAATGTCCCCTGTCACATTACAGTTCTGTGGCAGAGGCTCTGAAGACGGGTGCGACGGTGGAGCCAGAGTACTTTGACCAGGTCACCATCTACTTCAGTGACATAGTAGGCTTCACCACCATCTCCTCCCTCAGTGATCCCATCGAGGTGGTGGACCTGCTCAATGACCTGTACACGCTGTTCGACGCTGTGCTCAGCAACCACGACGTATACAAGGTCAGTTATATTTTCACACTACTGAGTTGAACCGAAATGAGCTGAGCCGAGGCATCATAGTTCCTGGAAACGGGTTGGGGTGCCGTGCCAGGGAAGCTTCACAACAGCACAAATCAAGTGAATTGATGATTTCTTTAGTATCAACTTGCCAATGTTTTACTGTATGCCTGTTTATTTTCATTGTGTAGGTGGAGACCATTGGTGATGCCTACATGGTGGCATCAGGTCTACCCAAGAGGAATGGCAATAAACATGCAGCGGAGATAGCCAACATGTCCCTGAACATCCTGAGCTCTGTGGGCACCTTCCAGATGCGCCACATGCCCGGCGTGCCCGTCAGGATACGAATAGGGATACACTCAGGTGAGAGAGGGCATTAGGTTGTCCCTGCCTGGAAGACACACTCTGAAGTTAGGCCACATATTAGCTAGATGTTCAATCTTGCTCAATGGCTGAATGCCAACGTGAGGTGTTTATAAATATGAAGAGTTTCTTTCCAAAACGCTATATATCAATTTTCAGAAATCTTGGTACATTAGCTTATATTGTTTAAAGAACTTATGAAAGAGATTGGTGTGTTTTTTCACTATCTAATCATGGCATGGGGTTGTTCAATGACAGACATGTATTTGTTTAAAATTTATCACTTGATGGTTTCATTTCAGAGACAAATAATCATGTTTTTTTTGCAAAACACTATGTATCCACCTCACTCTTAGAGAAATACGTTTTATTGCTAGGAGGTTTTACACAGTCAAATGTAACAAATAACTACAGTTTTAATAAAGAACCGTACAAATGATACATTTGTGACATCCATATTTAAATGTTAAAATGTTTTATCAATACAGTAATATGAGATCTGTATGTAAAACATTAACATTTGACATTTTAGTCATTTAACGGATGCTCTAATCCAGAGCGTTTTATGGTTAGTGCATTAATCTTAATATAGCTAGGTGCGACAACCACGCATCACAGTCAAATATACAGTGTGCGAACATTCCATTCTAGCTAAACAATAGATATACTGTATAGCGTTTTGCAAAAATAACTACATTTGAATACACACTTAAAATCTATGAATTGGAACAGTAATATTTAACACGCACGTGGTGAAAAAACAATCACACATGGTGAAAAAACACAAATGTGAAAAATGTGTGGATATAGCGTTTTGGAAATAAGCTCTTCATATCACAATCAATCACTTTGATTCGATTTCCTTTTCTAACTGTCTGTACGTGGGGATCCATCAGTCATAATGAGGGCGGTTGGAGCAGTAGCAGGCCAGGGTTTGGTTTCTCAATGTGATGGCTGAGATGTGATGCTCATGTGTTGTGTGTGTACAGGGTCATGTGTTGCTGGGGTGGTGGGTCTGACCATGCCTCGGTACTGCCTTTTTGGAGACACAGTCAACACCGCCTCTCGTATGGAATCCACTGGGCTGCGTGAGTATCAGAGGTTCTTGGTGTTGATTTACAAAACATTAAGAACACCTTCCTAATATTGAGTTGCACCCCCCCCCCCCCCCCTTTTGCCCTCAGAACAGCCTCAATTCGTCGGGGCATGGACTCTACAAGGTGTCGAAAGCGTTCCACAGGGATGCTGGCCCATGTTGACTCCAATGCTTCCCACAGTTACAGTGGGGAGAACAAGTATTTGATACACTGCCGATTTTGCAGGTTTTCCTACTTACAAAGCATGTAGAGGTCTGTAATTTTTATCATAGGTACACTTCAACTGTGAGAGACGGAATCTAAAACAAAAATCCAGAAAATCACATTGTATGATTTTTAAGTAATTCATTTGCATTTTATTGCATGACATAAGTATTTGATACATCAGAAAAGCAGAATTTAATATTTGGTACAGAAACCTTTGTTTGCCATTACAGAGATCATATGTTTCCTGTAGGTCTTGACCAGGTTTGCACACACTGCAACAGGGATTTTGGTCCACTCCTCCATACAGACCTTCTCCAGATCCTTCAGGTTTCGGGGCTGTCGCTGGGCAATACGGACTTTCAGCTCCCTCCAAAGATGTTCTATTGGGTTCAGGTCTGGAGACTGGCTAGGCCACTCCAGGACCTTGAGATGCTTCTTACGGAGCCACTCCTTAGTTGCCCTGGCTGTGTGTTTCGGGTCGTTGTCATGCTGGAAGACCCAGCCACGACCCATCTTCAATGCTCTTACTGAGGGAAGGAGGTTGTTGGCCAAGATCTGGCGATACATGGCCCCATCCATCCTCCCCTCAATACGGTACAGTCGTCCTGTCCCCTTTGCAGAAAAGCATCCCCAAAGAATGATGTTTCCACCTCCATGCTTCACGGTTGGGATGGTGTTCTTGGGGTTGTACTCATCCTTCTTCTTCTTTCAAACACGGCGAGTGGAGTTTAGACCAAAAAGCTCTATTTTTGTCTCATCAGACCACATGACCTTCTCCCATTCCTCCTCTGGATCATCCAGATGGTCATTGGCAAACTTCAGACGGGCCTGGACATGCGCTGGCTTGAGCAGGGGGACCTTGCGTGCGCTGCAGGATTTTAATCCATGACGGCGTAGTGTGTTACTAATGGTTTTCTTTGAGACTGTGGTCCCAGCTCTCTTCAGGTCATTGACCAGGTCCTGCTGTGTAGTTCTGGGCTGATCCCTCACCTTCCTCATGATCATTGATGCCCCACGAGGTGAGATCTTGCATGGAGCCCCAGACCGAGGGTGATTGACCGTCATCTTGAACTTCTTCCATTTTCTAATAATTGCGCCAACAGTTGTTGCCTTCTCACCAAGCTGCTTGCCTATTGTCCTGTAGCCCATCCCAGCCTTGTGCAGGTCTACAATTTTATCTCTGATGTCCTTATACACAGCTCTCTGGTCTTGGCCATTGTGGAGAGGTTGGAGTCTGTTTGATTGAGTGTGTGGACAGGTGTCTTTTATACAGGCAACGAGTTCAAACAGGTGCAGTTAATATAGGTAATGAGTGGAGAACAGGAGGGCTTCTTAAACAAAAATTAACAGGTCTGTGAGAGCCGGAATTCTTACTGGTTGGTAGGTGATCAAATACTTATGTCATGCAATAAAATGCAAATGAATTACTTAAAAATCATACAATGTGATTTTCTGGATTTTTGTTTTAGATTCCGTCTCTCACAGTTGAAGTGTACCTATGATAAAAATTACAGACCTCTACATGCTTTGTAAGTAGGAAAACCTGCAAAATCGGCAGTGTATCAAATACTTGTTCTCCCCACTGTATGTCAAGTTGGCTGGATGTCCTTTGGGTGGACCATTCTTGATACACACGGGAAACTGTTGAGCGTGAAAAACCCAGCAGCGTTGCAGTTCTTGACACAAACCAGTGCGCCTGGCCTGGCACCTACTACCATACCCCATTCAAAAGCACTTAAATATTTTGTCTTGTCGATTCACCCTCTGAATGGCACACATAAACAATCCATGTCTCAAGGCTTAAAAATAATTGTTTAACCTGTCTCCTCCCCTTCATCTACAATGATTGAAGTGGATTTAACAAGTGACATCAGTAAGGGATCATAGCTTTCACCTGGATTCACCTGGTCAGTCTATGTCATGGAAAGAGCAGGTGTTGTTAATGTTTTGTACACTCAGTGTATTTCTGCTCAGGATGTCTGTATTATTTTGCTGGTATGGTTGTAGTGACAGTGTTATTTCCTTTCAGCTTATAGAATTCATGTGAACATGAGCACTGTGAAGATCCTGCGCTCCCTCAACGAGGGCTACAAGATAGACGTCAGGGGCATGACAGAGCTGAAGGTATAAACACCTCACAATACATCATCCTCTGTGTTCACCTGTAGTATTTCTTTCAACTGTTTATAAATAAATAATGAATAATGATGTGTTCCTACAGGGTAAAGGCATTGAAGAGACATACTGGCTGGTTGGGAAAGAAAACTTCACAAAGCCTTTACCGACGCCTCCAGAGATTAAACCAGGGTAAGACCTCACAATACAGTACCTTATGTTGAGACACTGCCGAGAACTAAATTAATCTTAACATGTCTACATTTCATTTGGTAAATATTTGTGCACTGATTATACAGCAGTTCTATGTGTTTATGTGCAATAATTGCAATCATTTTCTCATCATTCACTGCATGAGCAAAATGGAGCCCCAATGAGGCTGTTTTGGTGGCGTTACATGTGTTGTCTACTTTAGGGATGACAATCATGGACTCAACCCAGAGGATATAGCTGCGTACAAGAGAAAAAAAGCAGCGAAAAAAGCTTGATTCTTTGAGTCAAAATCGAGGAGGTAGCTAGCAACTTGCATGCCGTGCTCTGTTGTGTCATGGTGGAAAGCTAGTTGTTGTGTGGTGTCTTCTGTTGCATGTGGTTTGTTGCTTTCACAATCTGTGGGATTTTGTTGAGCCCCCCCCCCATACTGTCCATCCATAGTCTCGTGATCTGATCTCTTAAAGTCTTGATCTGATCTCTTCTCTAATCTTCTAATCTTATCACCTTCAATACCGTTAAAAGCAGAGCAGAGCTTGACCATCCCAGAAAAGCTCTATTCATTTTGGTTAATCGAGTGGTTCACCCTCATTTCCATCCTTCCTTTCTGCTCACCCTCTCATTTGAGGCAGCACGTCTAAGACACAGGTGGGGAGGATGGGCTCATAGTAATGGCTGGAACGGAATAAATGGAATGGTACACATCAAATACATGGTTTCCAATGCGTTTGATACAACTTAATTTACTCCATTCCAGCCATTATTATTAGCCGTCCTCCCCTCACCAGCCTACTGTGCTCTAAGACATGCTTCTTCTGCCATGTCATCTCGTCTCGTCTTGTTTCGCCAATTGCCTTGTTTGTTATAATCAGATAGGCCTACTAGACTATTGTTTGAAGTGAAGGTACGTAGAGTTTAAATGTTTTTGGATCTTCCATTCTCAGGGACAACTGGCAAGAGATGGTGACAGATGAAATCAAGACGATATTTCGCAAGGCCAACCGGGAGGTGGACAAGCCTAAAATCTGAGCAGACGAGACAGAGAGAGAGAGAGAGAGAGAGAGAGAGACAAAAATGGGGAGAGGAGGAGGACACATCCAAAGAGAGAGAGAGGAAGAGAAAGGGATGATGAAGGAGTGGAGGACAGAGGGCATGAACAGGCCTGCTCACTGCGGCTTACGTGGCCTCCTTTAATAGGATTTCCTGGCTGCTGTCTGTGTAATCTGCTTGTGGCTAGCACAGCAGAAAGGGAGAGCACTAATGAAATGAAGGTTGTTGTATAGTGCATGTCTTCTTAATGAACCATGCATTTATTTCTCTGGTCTCCTATTGGCCACTAAGTGGCTTTGAGTCATTGGAGTGGTTTTGTCTAGATGGGATACAGTTTATGTCAAACTTTACACAGCAGGTTAGGATAATTAATGTAGCAGTCTAGGAGAATTAAGTTAAAACTTAGGAAAATGGTTAGGTTGAGGGTTAGCTAAAATGCAAAACATTTCAACTTTTGACGTCAGTTTGACATAAACTGTATCTTGTCTAGACGTGGCCCAGTGGAGTTGAGGCCCCAGTGCTCAACAGGATGATCTACTGTATAACTCCACTCTCATACTGTACTGTAGCTTTAATGGAAAATATGTTATATTTTTGTTAATGTTTCATCACTCTTCTAAACGCTTTGAAAGGAGCACTTCTCTCCACTTGAAGAGAGTTGTGGGGTGAAATAAGAATTTTAGTTAATTATTGCAAAATCTGATATTCAATTTTAAAGTTATGGCCAAAAAGCTTTCTAAGGATGTACGGTTAGCATTTCAAAGAGGAAATCGGATAGATATGTACTGTATTGTCAATGGACCACAAATCTGTTGCCATCTAGATAAATAATTCCCTATATTAATCATGTGTTTGTTTGTATGAGAAAAAAGAGTGCTATTTGGGAACAATGATACAATGCAAAAACTAAGGACAGACACATATCATATATTCCATTTTAAATTTCAACTGTGGATTTCTATGTGTTACATTGACCTCTAGAAATACTATTTTTTTATATGCATGCTGTGTTCGCTTGTTATAGATTGTCTATGTAATGTTTCTGTAAAAAAGTATTGCCATTTTTAAGCAGGGCATTTGGAGCCACGGAGTACACTGATTCTCAATAGATGAGACAAGTGAAGAATTGTAATGTCCAATGTCGATGCCTTCATTGACAAGAGCACCATCTCTTGTTTGGTTGAAGGTATGGCTTCTATGAATGAAAATTAATGCGCGTCCATTACAGGCACCATGGGCTCATACTTTAGGGTTACCTTTGCAGCACAAAACATGAATAGACCATTACCAAATAACATGAGCAATGATATATGCAGATGGATGTTTGATTATATACAGTATATTGGTTAGCTTTAATTGTCTTATGTATATTATTTCATCTATTTAATAGACTAAGAGAACAATTAATTAAAATCATGTACAGTATGCAATTTACACGTTTAAGATGCACAGTGCTGAAAAATGTAATATGTTACTGATTGCAGTTACATGAGAAATATAGTAATCAGTAATGTAATCCGTAATCAGTAACGTAAAGATGCATTCATGATATGTTGTTATTTGTCTTGGATATTTATGAGACACAAAGACTAATGTAAATATGATCTATTTAATTAAATAAATCACTGTTTTATTTATACGTATAAATATGACATGGGTTACAATTATTTCTATGGCTCTTCTAGACAAAAAGAAAGGGAAAGTGTTAGCCACGTGGTTGCTCTATTCACCAGAAGATGGCGCTGAGATCACATATCTTGATCTTTCTGTCCCCTCCATTCTCTTTGTCCATTACTCTCTACATTGTTTGTTCATGGGCATGATGGAAGACTACTTTGTTTCTAACACGCCAGGTTCTACAAAATGTCTGTTTTTCATAATTATTGATGATGGTTGATGAACAGTTTCGTGTCTAAGGTCTGTCAATTGACAATAGAGATGTGTCATAAGTTTTACTTCCTTGTTGAGTAGATCTCCTTCTCCCCTGTTTCACCATGTTAACCCTGAACTCCAACCTCACCCAGCTAGGTTTATTAGCTCCTTAATGGGGATTTCCTAACTTAGTGAACTCTATACAAAACTTAAGCTCTGGCAGTACTAACTAATGTGTTAAAAGTGGGTAAGGTCTGTAAGGTTGGGGAATCCTTTGGAATTGTGTGCCTTTCGCCGGTTTACAACATAGCCTATGTAGGGTCCCCGGGAAAGATTCTCCACATTCCATTCTGTAGACAGAGGAATGTTCTGGAACGTTCGCCCTCTGGCCGACTGGTTCGATTGTTATCATTCTCCTCACTGAACCCAGACAGTTAGATACACAATTGCATATTCACTGCACAATTTAGTTCATTTCAGAGGCTTGTATCCTGATTATGGCCCCTTATTATGAGCCCTTTATTATGCTAAATCTAACCCTTTCTTGATCATGATGTATCAGTATGCTTTGACGAAACTGAGCAGATTCTTACACTTGAATCATCTTTGAATGTTAATCACATACCAAGTTCATTTTGTGTTTCTTTTTATTGAAAAAGAGTCAAAAGGACACAACATTGCATTATGGCAACATTCCAAGGTTGTGGTAAATGCCTACAACATAAAGTCACACAGTTTGGTTGGCAAATGGCATAGATAATTCACTTAAAACAAAGAGTACAGAGGAACAGTTTCAGTGCAGCTGGGAGGCAAAAACAACTGTGAAAGCATGATAAATGTACTTTGCAGGGTGGAAAGTGGAAGATAGTATGGCATGAAATTAGCTTGTGCAACAATATTTTTCTCTTTAAACATTAAAGATAATGCAAGTAACCACACATATATCACAAACTCAAAATAAGAGAGAGAAGCCAAACCTATACTGGTGAAAAGAATGGTGGAAAATGTCTGATTTTATGAAAGGCAAAAATCTGAGAGATCATAGCTACTTAATATAAGCATGCTGTCAGGTCGTCTGCTATTCAGGTACTCTAAAAAGGCACTTATGGTATTTGGCTATTTCCTGAAATGTGTTGAAATGCAGACTTAAACAATGTTATTGATTATGGCACATTGCAAAGGCCAAACAGCATTCATTCAAACGTATACACTCCTGTTCACTGGGAGTGCTTAATGTGTCTGTGATACATTAGTAGGCCTAGATATTCAGTCCACAGATGACCTATTGGAATGTGTTCTTGAGGTAACAGTCATGCCATAATACACATACTGTTTCCTGGCATGATTCAATCAGTAAACTGTAACTCAAACTATCCATTAACTATTATAACTCGTCACGCATCTTGTCTCCTTTGGGTCGCACCATTCTGCCGATGAAGAGGATGGAGTTGGTCTTGTTGTCCTTCACCAGGAAGATGAAGGGATGGTCAGCGTAGAACAACTTGGGGTTCCTCAGCTTCTCGCTTCCGAAGATGCTGGTGTCGAAGGGGTTCCCCTCGATGTCCCACTCCATGGCAGAGGCGTGGAACACGTTGGAGAGGTACAGGTCCTTCTTGCCGGAGATGTTGGACAGATCAGCCTTGGTTTTGTCCACAGCTTCGGTCAGACCAAGCTCACCAAGAGTTTTCTGGAGAGAAGAGTACAATAGAGTGTGAAACATGGAGAAATTGTTCATATGTAGGTCAAATACATTCTTTCATAGTCAAGCTTGCGAGCTGAGTCGTAGTTTATGAGATAAGTCATTAACAACCATTAAATCTATTGCAAACAATATAGTCGCAATGATAATAATAATAATAACATGCCATTTGCAGTGATGTGTTTACCTGGAGGTTGTGGCTAACTTCAACGCTGATTTTGGGCAGAGAGATGGCCACGGCCCTCTCCTCCATCTTGCCCATCCAGGTTTCCAGCTGCTTGCGGGTCAGCAGCTTCTCCAGCCTCTCCAGGGGCTCCAGGTGATAGGGCATGATGAACACCAGGCTGGACTGCTTTTGGCCCAGGGGCATGTCCAGCACAAACAACCCGTTATCTGTGTCATCATGGAACTTATAGAGACCTGTGGAAAACAGTCATGGGATGAGAATAGATGAGTCAAATGATCTTGATAATGTTGTAGATAATGTCTTATATTAAGGCTTATAGTATGGTATGTCTCTATTCAAAAGTTTAGCGAAACCTACCAGTGCGATGCATCATGGGAACAGAGACTGTGAATGAACGGGTCACCAGGAAGCCACGGTTGTCTACCATCTTCTCATGGAACTTCTCATCCCAGTGAGCTATAGACAGAGGATAATGTTTGTTTTGTAAAGATATTCACATCTCACAAGCTCACTATTTAATACTCCCCTATATCAACAGTAGTAGCAGTAGTTGAAGGTACTAACTACTAGGCTACGGAGTGTGTTTGAATAACTCTACTTACGCTTGAAGAACATAGCGTTGGCGATCGTGGCTCCGTCAGCATTCTGCACATCCTTGGTGATCTCAGGCAGCTTGCCGTCTGTCGACTTGGCCGCCCATTCGTTGATGGAGTTCACTGCGCTCCGCTTGTCCCTGAGGTTGATCTTCAAGTGGTCGTAGTTGTAGTGCTTCTTGCTGCTCTTCACAAAGTCTTCGGCGAAGGTGACCGAGCTGGGGCCATAGAGGCGGTTGCTGATCTTCCATGTGACGTTACGGGTCTTGGGGTCGCTGACCTCAGTCAGGAGCTCTGACAGGCCTGTGTGCAGGTGCTCATCCTTCAGGGCGTCAGCGCTGAGGACAGACTTGACCTGGGAGGCGGTGGAAGCCTTGGCCCCGAGGGCCACCATGCCCAGGGAGGAGGCCACCACCACAGGGGATATCAGGATGTTGTCAAGTCCCTTCTCCTTGGCCACCGTGTGGTAGAGGCTGAAGGCCAGGTTGGCGCTCTGGTCGGCCATGGTGGTGGCATGGCTGCTCAGCTTCTTCTTGTTTTCTCCGGAGGCCACAATGGCCAGCAGGCACAGAGCTACGAAGGTCACCCACATCCTTTCTTTCTTCTGGTTCTTGAGCAGCTATAGAAG